TTTTATTTTTTTTTTCCTAATACGTTTCGGGGACGGGGGTGGCTCCGGGAGGAAGGAAAGAAGGAAGGAAGGAGGCAGAAGGTCCTGCCGCGGCCTCGGTGCTCCTGGGGGCTGCGAGGAGGAGGACGGCGGTGCCGGAGCAGCCGGGGCCGTTGCGCCGAGGCCGGAGCACCAAGGGCCGTGATGCGGCGGGAGGGCCGCCGGCAGCGGCGGCGCGCGGACCTCTGCCTCGGTAAGTCTTATTTTGCTAATAAACGGATATTGGCTATATTCACCCTGTGCCCTGTGCTCTCTGGGGCGCCGCGGAGCGCTCCGCCGAGCCGGAGGACGGCGGCCTCCGAGCTCCATCTAGTGGCAACGCGGGCTGGGATGCGGAGGGGCCGCTGGAGCAGGGATGCGGGGGTCCCGGAGGGATGCGGGGTCCTGCCGGAGGTGGGATGCGGGACCCCGCAGGGCTGCGGGGTCCCGTACGGATGTGGGGGGTCCTGTGGGGTCCCGCTGCAATGTGGGATCCTGCCGGGATGTGGGCATCCCGTCGGGCTGTTGGGGTGCCGCCAGGATGCAGGGTCCTGTTGTGCAGCTTGGCGGGATTCGGGATGCTTCATTCCCTGCTCCGGGCCCCATCGCGTCCGTCCGGAGCGCGGAGGCTTGGCAGGTGCCTTGGCGATTGTGGCTGTGCTGGCGCGCGGCACCAGAGGGAATGTTCGGGAAGGCGCCGGAGCCGGGATCGATGCAGGGTGAATGCGGCTGGGATTGGGAATCCGCTGGCCTCACTGCCTGGCTCCCTGGGATATTTTGCCCTCTCTGGAGCCTGCGGCAATGGAGCTGGGATGTGCAAACACAGCGATGTGTCCACCGGGCCTGTGTGCCAGGACTTGATCCACTTGGAAATGCGGCTGTTGCCACTGCACTAAATAACTTCCTGGCTAGAGTGTGGAGCGCGCCGTAAGCAAGCAGAGCCGCATGGCACTTTATTAGCCCTCCTGTCCAAAAACCCGCGCTCCGCTGCTTTGCTGTGACTTGATGCAATCCCATCTCTCTGCAAAATATATGGCCAAGCAGGCAGGATAATGTACGCCTTAATTTAACATCAGGTGCCTTTGAATTACCATCTCCATAATGTGCTGCGCATTAATGTGTCGTGCCATTTATATGGCAAAAAACGACAGTAGAAAAGGGTTTCAACCTCTCCAGGAAGCAAAAGTCACTGAAAGGGAGTGTGGAGCACCTAAAAAAGGGCCTAAAATCCCTGCCTGGGGCAAGGCGCGCGTGGGATTCGCTCCACGTTGCATGAGTGCGTGGCCAGGCGAGCGCAGCACAGGGGACCTCCAGCGGTTGACTCCAGGGTGACCCTGGGGCCGGCGCTCGCCCGCAGCCGGCTGTAATAACACCAGCTGTCAGTCGGACCGGCTCTGCCGGAGGAGGAAAAAGCACCGATTATCCAAATACAGTCATTAAAGGGGAAATGTGTTTTTAGGACTGTCAGGGTGATTAATGAGGGTTCGCAAGCCTTGCAAATGCACTTGTTTAGTCTAACTGGCAGCCTCTATTTTCCGATTGATTTATGGCAGCGCTGGCTGAGGCCGCGGCGTGCGGGGAGGGAGCCGGGACGCTGCAGGCTGGGCGCGATGCCGGAGGGAGCCGGATGGTGGCACAGGGCACAAAGGTGACGTTGTGCTGCGTGCCGGGGCCTTGGCGGAGCTTGGAGTGCCCAGCACCTCCTGGATTTGTGGATTTGGTGGTTTTCTCGTGGTGCTTCCCGACCGCGGCAGCTAGGGTGGATGCAGAGCTTCTCGGCACTGTAAAGCAGTTTTTCTTTCATGTCGCGGAGGATCCAGGATCCATGTGCATTCCCAGAGCGGCAGCGATGCCAGGTCCCTGCTGCGGGTGATGCTCAGTGCTGAATGGTCTGAGATGGGAAGAGGAGTGGGAGCAGCAGTGCTCAGCCATCCGGTGGAGCGATGCACCAAGAGGGACCTACCGGAGCACCTGGATGTGTCCATGACATCTGGCGGGGCAATGCACCGAGCAGGACCCGTGGGAGAACCTGGATGCATCGATGACGTATGGTGGTGCAATGCACCGAGTAGGATCCGTGGGAGCATGCAGCTCCAGCGATGCTGGACGGATGGTTTCAGCGGGAAGCGGGATTTGTGGGAGCACATGGCTCCGGTGATGCTGCATGGATGGTTTCAGCAGGATTCCTGGGAGTGCCCGCAAGGAATGTGTGCCATGGCCGGGATGCCCAGCTCAGCGTTATCCCTGTTTCTGCCATGACGAACAAGCGTTTATGGAAACCAGCTTTGCCCTGACTTCATGTTGATCCCAGCGTTGTCCATGAGCAGGATTTGGCCCCTCAGCCTCTATGGAGACGATGCAACCAGCAGGATGATGACACCAGGACACCCCCTGCCAGTGAAATGCCATGGGGAGGAAAGCATCTGGAAAGACCTCAGTTCCCTCTGGAATTTGGGCAAGTTCTGTGGGTTGGGATAGAAGAAAACCCTGGCTGGTCTGGGGGTTTTCCAGGGATTTCCCCATGGAAAGCTGCAGGAAATGCACCAAGTCACAGTGAGTTTGGGTAGCACCAGCCTCGCTCCAGGAGTCACGAGAACTTGCTTGAAGTTTGGCCTGCAAGCGAAGAAAGAACTTGGGGGGATGAAACAGAACTGCTCTGGGATGTGGCTTTGGGATGCAGCTCCAAGATGCGGCTCTGGGATGCAACTCCAGGATATGGCTGCATGCAGCTTGCACTGGGCCCCACCTCCCGTACTGCACTGCACACACTTTACTTGCACGATACATAGACGCTTCTCACGCTGCTCACCTGCTGCTCATGCTGCACACTTTTCCGTGCTGTGTATGCCATGCTGTGTCTCCTGCATTGCATTTTGCACGCATGCTGCTCACACGCTGCTCATGCTGCACGCTTTCCCATGCTGCACACACCATGTGGTGCATGCTGCATGCACGCTGCTTGCACGCTGCCCACGCTACTTGCACGCTGGTCGTCCTGCAAGCTTTCCCATGCTGCATGCCCCACGCCATGTCCCCTACCCTGCATTTCGCATGCACGCTGCTCATCCCTCACGCTTTCCCACGCTGTGTGCACCATGCCCCATCTCCCTCGTCGCACGCTGCTCTCCCAGCTCCATCCCTCTCCCAGCTCCATCCTCCACCTGGAGCGCTCGCCCTTGGGCTCCATTTCTGCCCCGGAGCCACCAGCCGCGTCACCAGGTCCCGCACAGAGCAGCCTTGTGCGCTGCAGCCGCCACGAGAACCTGGTGCAGCTGGGCTCTATTTTAGGTGAAAAACACTTTGGGAAAGATCTTGAAAGGAACTGGCAGCTCAGCCATCTCGGTGATTAATGAGCGCTGGCCGCGGCGGTGCCGCTCGCGCCATGCCAGGGCCCCCACACCGCCCCCGCCCGCCCGGAAACGGCCCCGCATATGGAAAAAGTTAAATATAAATTACTGCTGAAAGAGGCCTAGCCGCGCCGGCTCGTCCATGGATGTTTATGGATCCAGGAACTCAGGCCTGCGTATGCGTTTAGAGATGACAAATGTGATTCAATAAGGGAGGAATTTCGCCCCCGGGGTGCTGCTCGGCGCCCGTGGGGCCCTCCCAGCCCCATACTGAGCCCGCGGGGGGCTGCTCGGGGTCTATAGGGCCTGCTTGGCCCTGTATGGAGCCCATAGGGGACTGCTGTGGGTGTGTAGGGCCACCTGGCCCCATATGAAGCCTGCAGGGGGATCCTATGGGGTGCATAGGATTGTCTGGCCCTGTAAAGAGCCCATGGAGGGAGTGCCTGTGGCCTGTAGAGCCTGCCCAGCCCCATATGGAGCCTACAGGGGATTGCTCGAGGCCCATAGGGCCTGTCCGTCACTGTAGGGCGCCCATAGAGGCACGCTCGGTGCCAGTAGGGCCTGCCCAGCACCCTACAGAGCCCATACTGGGCCATGTGGGGCCTGTAGGGCCTACCTGGCCCCGTGCTGTGCCCACAGGGGACTGTTCCTGGCTTGTAGGGCCTGCCCAGTCCCGTATGGAGGCTGCAGGGCACCGCTCAGGGTGTGTAGGGCCTGCCAGGTCCACTATGGGACTGTTGGAGGCCCGCAGGGTACGCCCAGCCCAGTATGGAGCCCACGAGCACGCTCGAGGTGCACAGGGCCTGCCTGTGCCCATAGGGGAGCTTGGGCCCGCTCAGCACCATGTGGCGCCCACGTACAGGCACTGGGATCGCCTGGGCCAGGACTGAGCCTGCAGGGGTCTGCTTGAGGCCCATAGGGCCTGTCTGGCCCAGTATGGAGCCTGCAGGAGGCCGCTCGGGGCCTGCAGGGCCTGCCTGGCCCGTACAGCGCCCATACGTGGCACTTCGGGGCCCATAGGGCCCGCCCGGCCCTGTATGGAGCCGGGCGTGAGGCCTGTAGGGCCCTCCTGTCACTGCACAGAGCCCGTGGCGTGGCGTTCAAGGCCCGTAGGGCCTGTCCCGCCCTGGATGGAGCCCACGGGGGGCTGCTCGGGGCTTGTAGGGCTCACCCAGCGCCATACGGACCCCACGGGGAGCCGCTCCAGGCCCACGGTGTCTGCCCAACCCTATACGGAGCACACGCGTGGCCGCTTGTGGCCTATAGGGCCCCCCATCCCCATATGGAGCCCTCAGGGGGTTGCTCCGTGGCTTCTTGGCCCTGTATGGACCTGTACGGGCCTTATATGGGGCTGTGTGAGATCCATAGGGCCTGTCCAGCCCAGGATGGTTCCAGGAGGGGCACTCGTGGTCCGCAGGGACTGCCTACACCCCCATGGAGCCCATAGCGGATGACTTGGGGCCGCCAGCCCCGCGGTTTCATACTGGACCAGTATGAAAGTGATGGGGGCTACTTGGGTCCAGCAGGGCCTGCCTAGGGGAAAGAGGGGGTGCCTCCCAGGCGGGAGGCGGGAAGGGGAAGCAGGGGAATGCGGAAGCCACCGTCACAGTTGTGCCCGATGGAATTGAAGTTTAATGGAGGGTGCCCTTCCCTGGCAGCTCGGGCGTTGCCCAGGAATGCAGGCTCCTCTTGTGTCCCCTGGCCGCGGCTCTGTCCGTGTGTCCCGTTGGAGAGGGGCCTGCGAGGGGATCCAGCGGGGCCTGCGGGGGGAGACACGGCCGGGGGCTCCGTGGCCCCCAGTCCCGGGTTGGGGTTGGGAGCGGCCGCCAGGCGGCGCCGGGAACGGAGCCGGGGCAGTAGTGCGAGGAGCAGCCGCCGCAGCCAGGGTCGGGTGGTGGGAGCCACGGTCCTGCCACGAGGGAGCCGGGAGCTGCGCGGCCGGCATGACAGCGCGGGCGGCAGCACCGAGCAGGAGGCGGAGGCAGTGTCTCATTAAAGTGACTTTCTATCTCCCCTGCGTGTGGAAGTTAATCTGCATTACACTCCAGTGAGGTGCACGCCATGTGTAAAGACACAGGCTCCCATGTTCTGCTGAGGGGCCTGTTTGGTGGTGCTGGGGGGAGGACACGGCAGCTTGTCCTCGCACCCAGGGCTGGGGCAGCCCGTGGGGCACTGGACATGATCCCCATGCATGGGCGAGAGGGCAGTGCAGGGGAGAAGGGGGCTTTGGAATCACTGTTTAGCGCTGCAGATGGGACAAGGTGGCCACACAGGTTCACGAGGGTCCCGAGCACCCAGAGGAGCTGCCAGACCCGATCTGCACGGGCTGGGGGCCGGTCTCGAACCCGGGGAGCCGCCAGACCAGATCCGCACGGGCCGGGGGCCGGTCTCGAACCCGGGGAGCCGCCAGACCAGATCCGCACGGGCCAGGGGCCAGTCTCGAACCCGGGGAGCCGCCACACCAATCCGCACGGGCCGGGGGCCAGTCTCGAACCCGCGTCCCCGCGTCCCGTGCCGCCCCGCCCCCAGCGGGCGGGGCCGGAAGCGCGGCGCGCAGCGACGACGTCACGGCGGCGGGCGGAAGTGGCGGCGGCCGCCGCGCGGCCATGGCCCAGGTGGGCGCCATCGCGGCGCTCTCGCTGAGCTTCGTGGCCGCCGCCTTCCTCTCGGCCATCCACAAGATCGAGGAGGGCCACATCGGCGTCTACTACCGGTGAGCGCGCTGGGGAGCCCTCGCGGCGGTTCCGCGGTTCCCTTCCCCGCCCGTGCAGCCAGGCCTGATGCTGTCCGTTTCCCCCCGCAGTGGCGGGGCGCTGCTCACCTCCACCAGCGGCCCCGGCTTCCACCTCATGCTGCCCTTCATCACCTCCTACAAGTCGGTGCAGGTGCTGCTGCCGCCGCGCGGCGCGGGGGCCGCCTCGGGGCTGCGGCTCCCGGGCTTCCCTGAGGCTGAGGCGGGTGGGAATGAGGTCCCGGCGGGAAGGGGGGCGGTCTCGGGGGTTGCGGGTCCCAGGGGTCCCTGTTGTTGGGGGTGGAGGTGGCAACGGGGTCCCTGGGAGGGTCCCCAGAGGCTGCAGGTCCTGTCCCCCCTCCCCCCATAGCCGGGGGGGTGAGAAAAGGGTCCCCGGGGGTTATGGGGAGTGGGTGCCCAGGAGCTCACGTGGGGCCTGGGCTCCATTTACCCCTCCTGACGCTCCTCTCTGTGCAGACCACCCTGCAGACCGACGAGGTGAAAAATGTCCCCTGCGGCACCAGGTGAGCCCGGTCCTTTCTTGCTGCCCCAGGTTTTCCCCCCCGGGCTTGGTTTCCCTTCCCGGCTTCCCCTGCAAGCGGGGAACCTGTCTCCATCCCTTCACACCCCGGCTAAGAAGTTCTGTGTGAATGTCTTGAGCCTCTCTGCACCACTTTCCCCTCTGCTTGTGCCTGCAGAGGTGCTGAGACTTCCGTCAGCAAGTTCAGTCCTGATTTAGTTAATTTTTTGCTGGAAACGGGCCGTGTTTCAGCTCACTCCAGCCTGGCTTTTCCAGTAGCAGCCTGTCTGCTTGGGTCTGGCGTGCTGGAACTTGCCCTCTCATTGCAGAGAAGTCACCTCTGCTTTGCTGGTCCAGAAAGTGAGGCACGGGAAGGAAGGGAGCGGCTAGAGGATCTAGGGGAGGGACTTGGGAGCTTCGATTTCTGTGTCACAGCCCCTAGGAATTTGGTCTGGCCTGCTAGGGATTGATACGGCTCCTAAAGGACACTTGTGACAAAGCCCCGGAGGCTGCTGCTCAGCAAACTGCTTTATTTTTATTTCTTTTCTTCTTTTTGCAGTGGGGGAGTGATGATTTATTTTGACAGGATTGAGGTGGTGAATTTCCTCATCCAAGGTGCAGGTGAGTTTCTCCCTCGGACCCTCGGGTGCAGCATCCTCAGCACCCCTGTTAGCACAGGGTGAGCTGGTGCACGCTTGTGCCCTGCCCGTTTTGGGGCATTGCTCGTATTTCTCTGACTACCCCGTAAAGCCTCTGGGGCTCAGGCCTTTTAAACAGTTCTCCCAGCCCCTTGTGTGCTTCTTGTTTCTTGCACATACTTGTTCTCTGCTGCTAATTGCTTCGTTAGTCCCTCAATGTCATTTGTCACTCTTGCTGTCTGTGTTGTTATGGCCCCAGTGGGTTCTGTGCTTCCATGAAGAGCTTCTGGTTTGAATAATGAGGGGTGCACACACTGGGAGAGCCCAGAGCGGCTGCAGCACAGAGGGAATGACCCAGGCAGCCTTTTCTCCAGGCTGTTTCCTTGTTAACATCCTGCTTTTTACGAGCATGGAATTATTTCCCGGCTCATCAGCATCCTGCCTAGAGGCTTCTGTCCTAGCCTGATGTCAGGATTCCCTCCCACTGCTGCATGCAGTCTCTTCTTTCTGCTGTTGGGATGCAACACGTGCCATTTGCCTGACAGATACTAGGGTGTTACCTGCAGCTAGTGCAGGGAAGGCCACTGGGACTTAAATGCCGTTTTTTTGCTAAGCACAGGGTTGATGTGTGAGGTACCATGGGCAATAATTAAACCTCCCCGTCAGAGTAAGTGAACAAAGCGCCTGTTTGTGGCGTGAGCTGCTCTTTGCCAGGTGCTTCCCTGTTCCCTCAACAGCCACCGCCTCTCCCGCTGGTGTGAGTGAGCCGTAAGCTTTCCACTGCGAGCATTCACCTCTCGCCAGCTCTTAACACCCATTTCTCTGTTTTTTTTTTCAATGTAGTATATGACATAGTGAAGAACTACACCGCCGACTACGACAAAGCTCTCATCTTCAACAAGATCCACCACGAGCTGAACCAGTTCTGCAGTGTCCACACGCTGCAGGAGGTCTACATTGAGCTCTTCGGTGAGCTGCCCCCAGCACCAACGCTGCGTGCTCCACGCTGGCTTAGTGCTTCCTTGCATGATGTTTCAGAGCACATGTTTTTAGCCATAGACCTGAACAGAGTGGTGTTTTCTTGGTAAAAAGAGCCAGAGCACTGCCGGCACTGAGTGCTTTGCTTGTTGCTTTGGAGTGAGGAGATATCCCTTTGAGCATTCGGGCAGTGCTGGCTGCAGGCAAAGCGCTGCTGTGAACAGGAATTCGGGCCCAGAATGGAGTGAGTTTGTAGCTGCAGTTAGTCGATGCCAAGTCCTTGAGCAAACACAGGGAGGGTGCTTGCAAACTGTTCCTCTTGTCAGCAGGGCTTTTCAGGAAGCTTGGCTATGCCCGTTCTGACTGAATCTGTATAAAATTCAGAAGTGGCACTGTTGCCCTCCTGCTCCTTTATGGGGCACTTGGTGGGGGAGCTGGCCCTGTGCTCATGGAGTCTCCAGATGTCAGCAGCTGCTGGCAACAACTGCTTGGAGTAACTCAAGGCCACTGCCTTGCGCAGAAGGAACTCCGGTAAACTCCTGTGTTAGCTCTTCTGGTCTGAGCCGAATGTTCTTCTGGCTCCCAAGCCGTGCACGGGGCATTTCAAACGGCCTCGTGTCGTGATCTGCTGCCCCAACGTCTGCAGGCAGGTGCAGGAAACTGATAACAGCTGTTTCCTCCTGGCTGAACTGCACGGATTGCAAATGTGATTCACATGCAGCTAAACCGGGACCAAAGCAAATAATAAAGGAGTGAGACATGATCCCTTTCAAGGCTGTTACATTTTTATTTTCCCTTTGCATCCTCAGCAGGCCCCAGCTGGAAACACTGCTATCCTTGGCGCTTTTACCTGCAGCAGGATTTTCTTTTGTATTTTTCCTGGAAAACATGCTTCTTGCCCCCAAGGCTGCCCAGGCAGTGGAAAAGTGGCTCAGTTGTGGGTTGCCTCTCAGCAGGCTTTGGAAACGCCACTACCTTCTCTGACCTCTGTGCTGTGAGCAGCCCTTGCTGGTATAGTGGTCAGAGGGTATCTAATAAACCCTCCACATGCAGCTTATTTTCTGTCCAGTGCTTGGTTCTCTGCAGGATGAGTCTATGGGGAAGTCTATTTAAGTCTTCCAGAACCTCCAGAGAAGAGAGAGCTTAAGACGCCTGTGCACAGAAAAGGGGAAGGTCGAAATTGCTCTGTTGGCAAGAGATGCATGAAAATTGCAGCTTCTTTAACACTTTGAAATGGTGCGTGATGTGCCAAGAGGGGTGGGAACCTGGTTTTAGCTCACAGATTATTTTTCTCAGCACAGCATCTTTCTATCAAACTTACATTAGTATTTGCTTTCCAGGAATGAGAAGTGTGAGTAATTCCAGCTAATTCAATACCTGTTGAGAGCAAAAATCTTTGGGGGGGCTTTTAGTTACTCTGTTTGTTTTTTCTCCCCAATCAGATCAGATTGATGAAAACCTTAAACTGGCCTTGCAGCAAGATCTAACTACAATGGCCCCTGGATTAATTATACAGGTAATGAGGGTTCCTCTTTGAAGTGTCCAAGACATAGATCATAAGGGAGGGGAAAGAGCTAAAATCAAATAGGAAGCTGTGAAAATTTTTTAGAAAACTGTAATACAATCTGTGTTTAACTCCTTTGGGGATGGAGAGTAGTATTTCACCCGTTTCTTCCCGACTTTGCCGGGTTGGGTTTCTTTTGGTGTTATCCTGGATACTGGTGATCTTATATCAGGGGTTATCACTAGTTACGCTAGTGATGTCCAGGCTACAGGAGGTATCCTGATCTCGTCTCAGGGGATCATTAAAGCTTACATCTGCTCTTTGTTTTTTGGAGCTGGTCACAGTTCCTGCAGTGTAAAAGCTTTGTCTGGCAGAACATGCCCTAAATTAGCTTCCCCACCCTCTGCAGCCTTGAGGCCATTTGCCTTTTGGTTTTTGGCTGCTTGCCTATGTTTTCTTCGTTCTCTCTTTCCAGGCTGTCCGAGTTACAAAGCCAAACATCCCTGAAGCGATCCGGAGGAATTACGAGCTCATGTAAGTGCCCGAGACCTGCACCTTCGTGTTGCCAAAGGGAATTGCTCATCCCGATGAATGTGTTCTCACGGCACGCAGTGATCAGAGTGCCAGGCATGCTCTCCACCTCGTGCTGCCTCGCTGCCGTGCAGGTGTAGCGAGGCTGTACTGGATGAGCGTGTGTCAGTCACTGTCACTGACTGACAGCTCACTGGGAGCTGGAAGGTTTTGCACATTTGGGCACAGAAATTGCTTTCCCCAGAAGCTTGTTCCCCTTGCCACTGTTCCTATTTTTAAAAGGCCTCCCAGAGCACACGAGTGAGTGGCAGGTTGATACTGTCCACCACTAATCCTGCTGTTTTACTAGGCTTGAGAAGCTGTTGATAAAACAGGTTGAAGACTTGCAAAGCTTTGAAATAACTTTCTTTAATAGCACTTGACATCCTGATCCCTTCTCAGCACTGAGCCAGCAGCCTTGTCATGCACTCAGTCATTCAGAAATGCTTATTTTCTCTGAGCACTCTGCCAACAAAGCCTGCAGAAGCCAGAATAAGATCCCTTTCTCCCTTTTTCCCTGCTTTAGCATTTGCTCTGACCTTTTGACCATGATAAGTTGTTTGCACTGTGGTCGTGATGCATAGAGTTCCAAATTGGCCCGCTCTTATTTGTTGCCAGCAATGCAGCTGGGTATGTGTTCAGAATGGGGTTTTGGCTCCAGCTGCCCCTTTCCTGATTGAAGGGAATATTTAAAAAAAAAAAAAACAAAAAAAAAAACAAACAAAAAAAAACGCTCCCACAACTTTCTTTTGAAACTTCTTTTTATGTATACAGAACAGTAAGATAGAAAAGACTGAGCCATGTAAAATGCATGGAGCCATTTTGCTAACAAAGGATGATTTCAAAGCCGTTTCCTTCCACAGGCTTTCACACGAGAAAGGGAAGTTCTAACCATCTGTGCTAAGGCAAGGCTGCTGTCACTTTCATTTCTTCATTAATAGTTGCACAGAAAACTTGTGTATGGTCAAACTGCTCTGCTGTGAGCTGCCTCTGCCAGCAGGTGCTACGGGAGTCGGCAGAGAGTAGCAGGGAATGGTTCACGCTCGCCTTACTGAAAAGTGTCCTTGCTATGGAGGGAAGAAACACACAGTTTAGTATAGAAAAACCAAGTTCACATACTCATTTCCTGATTGCTGCCTGCCCGAAACGTGCTCAAAGGAGGCCAAAGCATCGTACTCAGTGAGCTCACGTTTTATACCTGCCTTTTTTTTTTTAGGGAGAGCGAGAAGACAAAGTTGCTGATTGCAGCACAGAAACAGAAGGTGGTGGAGAAGGAAGCAGAGACAGAAAGGAAAAAGGCCCTCATTGGTCTGTATTATCTTTATCCAAAGGCAGAAACTGTACAAGGGGGTGTGGTGGGGTAGGAAGCAACTAGAGGGAACCCAGACATCTGTGGGGGAAGGTGTGAGCTTGGTTCCTCATTGAGTTCCTTATTTTCTCACTGCATCCTTTCTGGACTTTTTTTTTCCACCTCAGAGGCAGAAAAGATTGCCCAAGTTGCTGAAATCACTTACGGACAGAAAGTGATGGAGAAGGAAACGGAGAAGCGCATTTCAGAGATTGAAGGCGAGTAGTGAACTTTGCAGTGAGCAAAAAAAACTGCAGTGGCTTTTGGCTAAAGATCTCAAAGTAGTTCATGAGGGAGTTAAGTTTGTTCTTGCATCAGTGCAGTGAAGTGCAGGTATTGACTGTGATCCCTAACTGCACCTTTGTGGATGTCAGATTGGATTATTTGTCTTCTGTAATGAAACAGTTGCTGTGTTTTCCGCACAAGAGTTTAGTGGCTGGCTAGAGAAGAAGAGAGTGTACTTAGCCTGTGCGACGAAAGGAGCAATAAGAAACCTGTCTGTATAAAATAATTTGGGGTTTCAGGTCACAGTTCCAACTTGCTTATTTTATAATACCATGCTGCAACTTTTTAGGAAGAAAAAATAAGGAAAGATCCTGTTTCTGGGCTTTCCATTTTGCTCTCCCTTTTCCTTGTTGCATAAATGCTTTACAGTTTAGCAGTGATCCTGACCACACAAAGAAGAGTTCTGGATGTAAACATGGCAGGAAATAATGAATGTGGGAGCCTGTGTTTTCATTTGTTTTGTTTTCCCCAGATGCCGCATTTCTTGCGAGAGAGAAGGCAAGAGCTGATGCTGAATGCTACACTGCTATGAAAATAGCTGAGGCTAACAAGGTACTGGTATTTCCATAACCTGGGGCTAAAGTGGGACTCGGTACGTCAGACTGTATGGAAGGCTTTAGCAAAAGGGCAGTCTGTGCTTATTGTGTCTGCTTGAGCAAGTTGGAAAGCAACACAAAGCTACCTTCTTTCGGCATGAAACAGTGGTATTTGCAAGTTGATATTCTCTTCTAGCTTGGTTTATGCGAGGATACATGGAATATCTGCCAGGACATCCTGGCAGGAAGCCTTTGCTTTGTAAGGATCAGTGAGAACGGACAGCAGTTCGAAATGTTTGTGCACAAGTTTTGCCCTGTTTTTTTCCATTCTTTCTGTTACAATGTGATTGTCCCGAGAAAATGAGCTCTGCTCTCCAAAAGAGACTTTTCAACCTACTCTGTAGGGAGGGGGGAAAAAAAAAAAGCCAGCTGTATTTCTTTCCAGTATTTTGCGTTGCGACAGCTTTCCGTGACTGCTAGTGTTTTGGAAAAGTGAACTCTTTGTATGCTTAAAACAGAAAGTTGGTTTTGAATAAATCTGAGCTGTTGGTGATGTTTTTTTATTTTTGTGCAGCTGAAGTTAACTCCTGAGTATTTGCAGCTGATGAAATACAAGGCTATTGCAGCGAACAGCAAGATCTATTTTGGCAAAGATATTCCCAACATGTTCATGGACCATGCAGGGAGCCAGACGAAGCTTGCGGATGGACTCACGGAAGGAATCCAAGACGATGATGGTGCAGGAACCAGTGAAGACACAAAACTGCATCGTAACATCAAATGATCTTGCAAGATTTGTAGTTTTCTTATATGAAAAGAAGAGGAGAACTGGGAAGTTCCTTTCTCTTTCCCCTTTCCTGTACTGAGCAAGATGAATCAGACTTAATCCCGTTAATCTTTTCTGGGACGATTAGATGCAAGGACTTTGGTATTTATGGGGTGCTTTTTTTCTGGTGACATCTAAGCAGTCAGCTCCAAATATGTCCTCGAGAAGCACCTCTCCTGCTGATGGACAAAAAGACCAATTATTGTGGAGGGGCCAGATGGATGACATCTCTGCACAATGTGTTCTGCGGCCAACTCAGCTAGGTACTTTATTTGGGAGGGAATGGGTTTATAGCAGCTGTGGAAGTAAAGAAGATTTGGAGGGAGGGGGAGTTGCTGCTATTTTTTTCTTTTTTGTTGGAAATTCCCAGTACTTTATTTCAAACCCATTTTAAAAAAGGTGCTAGACTTTTGTACACTAAGCGTGTCTGCTTGAAGGCTCAGACACCGTCAGAATGTCAGGTGGCTTAGAGGTAGTGCTCTGAACTATTCATTTGCTGCATCTAACACTGGTTTGTTTTCCATTCGTCGTATTTGGAGAGCTTAAAGGGACGTCCTTGCTGGCAGTTCATCCACTGAGCCAAGAGTCCAGGTATGCCGATGGAGGCAGTGTCCTGCCAGTGTTTCACTGGACTGAACTGCCCCCTCAAATCAGACCTGTATTTTCAGCATAGAGCATAAGGGAAGGGATATTTGCTGGTAGCAAAATAATATACTGAAAAGTCACAGGGCAAAGGCACGCACTTACATCTGCGCTATTCAGAGAGAAAATACCTTTTTTTCTTTGCTCAGGACAATGCTGTACAGTGTACCTTTCACTACAGACCACTGATTAATTCTTATATCAGATACAGAGGAAAATATAGAGGGTTTTTTTTGTTTTATTTGGCATGTATGCAGAACTTTGAGGGGGTGGGGGGAAGCTCAGGGCTAGAGCAAACATCTGTTTTTATTTCCTGTCCCCCACACCAATCCATCAGTAACCTGGCAGGAGAGCCTGTTTATTAACTCCTTTTAATTTACAGTCCATATACTAATATGAAAAAAGAGTGCAAGTTCTAACTTAGTTGTCATGGACCAGCCTATTGCACTTAAAATCTAGTGTTGCAGAGCTTGCCGCCTACTGTGCTTGGTTTCACTCTTCAGTGTTTTAAATATATGCTTTTTTTTTTTTTTAATAAGCACAGTAAGAGAGAAATCCAATACATTTTTAGTGCTGGTTCCAGTATCTTCACTATTTCTTATTATTTTTACTTTTGGAGTGATGACTATACATATTTGAAAAATCAAAGATAGCACCAGTTACAGCTGGAAAAAGCCCATCTACAGATATTCTTGTGTCTGCTGGAAAAACTGGGCCCCATGGTGAAAAATTTCATCTCAGAAATCTACAGGGGACCAGGTAGCAGTCAAGAAATTGCATCCAGAAATGTGTGGGTAATATTACTCAGTTTTATAAATTTTCTGCAGAAGATTATGAAAAGGGAATAGCAAAACTTTCGACCTCAGGTAATCATACCCAGCACTTTGGAGGTTATCTGGGTTGCATGGGGCTGTTCTGCTTTCATATTTGGGGTTCCATTTAGTAACTAAGACATTCTTTAGTTGAGTGTCTACTCAAATGCAAAGACCCTAACAAACCAAAGTGTGTTTCAAAGGATGCTCCTGTGGAACATTACTGCAAAACAACAGTTTGAATAGGTCTTAGTGATTATTTTTAATGGAAAATATTGCCGTGAAAGTGCTCCTTTGTGGAGAAATACAGGGGGGGGAAAAAAAAAAAAAAGAATAACCAGACTTATTAATCTAAAATGCAGATTTTTTTAAACCACTCCATGAACCTTTATGATTCCTCCTAATTGAAAGCTAATTACTGCAGTAGGAGCGATAACACCATAGACTTTTGCAGCTTAAGCAATCTCTAATAAGAATTTAAAGAAAGAACAGAGTTGAAATTATACATTCTTTTCTACAAGTTGAAATTCAGTGTTGCCTTTTTTTTTTTTTTTTTTTTGAGATTCTTCATTATATCTTGAAACCTCTGGAATATTCCACAATAAATTTCTCACATGTTGTGCTTTATCCCGTCTATCTCTTAAGTTGTGCTTTCCCTGATCAGCACCTTGAAAGGGGGCCCGGACTGTCCCTGACCTTTTGATGCGCTCGACTAAAAGCCCTTTTAGGTTGGTGTTTGTTAACAAAAACCTTCCATTTTGGTTTTGATTTTTGTCAGGGGTGACAGCGGCGTGCTACAGCCTCGGGCTACACTCGGCCATTGCAGAGGATGCCAAAGTGTGTGTGTGTATGAGGGGGTGGAAAATGCAGGAAGTCTCTGGATTGGGTAAAATTCGTGTAAAATCTTGTTTTTAGCACCGGGAGCGCCACCTTAGGGCCAGGCGACCTTCCCAACATGGTGGCGCCGCCCTGCGGCCCGCCCCCTAGATGCCATTGGCTGGGCAGCGGCGGCGGCGCGCCCTGATTGGTGGTGGGCAGGATGACGCGTGTGTGTGGCGGAAGGCGGTGGGGGCCGGCCGGGGATGTGGAGAGTAGGCATGGCAGCCAGCGAAGGGCTGGGCCCGGCGCTGCGGGCCGTCACGGAGCGAGTGCAACAGGCGGTAGGCCGGAGGCCGCAGGTGAGGGGCGTCGCGAGGCGGGGAGGGCACGGGCCTGGGAGGGAGGGGGCGGGAGAGCGGGGTTTGCTACCGTCCCGGCGGCTGCAGCTCCCTTCCCGCCATGGCGGCGGGTCCTCCAGCACCATAGAGATCACCGTGCCTTTCCCCATGAGGCACACGCGTCCTCCCCCACCATGGAGACAGCCCCCGCCTTGGAGTGGGGTGCCCCCCCACCGCTAACCATCATCAAAAGATACACGCAGACAGGAAAGAACAGGTTCCCCAAGGTAAGGGCTGGCTTTCCCTCCACATACCATAGAGAGGCCCCACAACACCCTGGAGACAGGTCCCCCGAGATCATAGAGAGCAGCCTCCCACCATAGAGACGGGCCCCGTCGTGCCCACAGTGGCTGTAGGCTGGAGGTGGCCGGGCTGGGGGTCGGAAGGTGTCACCCGATCCGGGCGCTCCCCGCAGGGGCTCCCGGCCGTGCAGCCCCGGCTGGTGGCCGTGAGCAAGACGAAGCCGGCGGACATGGTGATCGAGGCCTACGAGCACGGGCAGCGCAGCTTCGGGGAGAACTACGTGAGTGCCCGGCGGCCGCGGGCCCCGCTCGCGCTCGCGGCCGCGCCGCAGCCCTGACCGCGCGCTGCCTTCGGTCCCCACAGGTTCAAGAGCTGCTGGAGAAGGCGTCCGACTCCAGGGTAAGCACACGCTTCCCTCCGCCCGGTTTTCCACGCGCTGCCGCCTCCTGAAGTGTCTTGGACAAAGTCCTGTCTGTTGTGAGAGACCTGGTGACGGCAGAGCTGCTCCTTGGTCTTCTTTGGAAAGAGCCCTTTTGTTTCCCTAGATATGTGGTGGGGTCAGTCCCAGCTTTTCTGCCTGTTCTTCCTTGCCCCTTCTGCCCTGCTCCGTGACGAGGATCCTGCAGACGCGGTGCCTTAGTCGCAGAGCATCTGTGCACAGCACCTGGCCTCTCGTCCTTTGCGTGCTGGACATACCCGTGCAGAACTGACTCCGTTTGGGGCAAGGCACGATGTCCCAAATCACTTTCTGATTCTGCAGTTACAACAGAGCTTTGCCCTCCCTGTCAACCTTGTGATGCCGCAGTGCTGTTCCCCTCCGGAATGAGACCCTCTCCATTCCTGCCACGAGCCCTGCCTGAGCCCTGTCTTGCAGGGAAAACAAAAGCAGCCGGCACGTCTGGAACTGTGTCTGCAGGCAGACCAAGACCCGAGGATTGCTTGGGGCAAGAGGAAATTATCATTCAGACCTGATTAACTGTTCCTTTCTGTTCTCAGATTCTGTCGTCTTGTCCGGAGATTAAGTGGCATTTTATTGGCCATCTGCAGAAAAATAACGTCAACAAGTTGATCGGTAAACTCTATTTAACTTCATGTGCGGAGCCCGTGGGCAATAGTCTTGCAATGGTCACACAAATAATAACCCTGATTTATCTATTTATATTGCTGATTTCAAGCCAGGAAGACATCTAATTAGCAAATAGAAGAATGTCCCATTTTTCAGTCCTCGCTGAGTCTGTTCCCTCTTGCCATAGTCTCCTGCTGACCGTGCATGATTGCAGCTATATCTGTGCTTGTGATGCTTGGACAGCGCGAGGCCTCTTATTCAGAGGGGCTACTTGTCCTTTGCAGCTTTCCCAGCCTGAGCTGCTCGTGTATTTACTCATTTTGCTCATTTCCCATGAATTACTGGACAAAGCTCGGGCCGTTGAGTCGTGCTGTGCTTTCACTTTGTAATTAGCTTGTTCCGGAAGGTTTGGGGTTCCCTGTGGTCTGGGGCACTGCAGGACTGACACCTTGCAGTGCAGTGACCTCTTCTCCCTTTCCCTCCTTGGTGTATGTGGGTGTGAACATCACTCCGCACTCATGCAGTTCACCAGCTGTACCAGACATCTCACTTGGTTGCTGTATTGCAACCTTTCCAACAAAGTTGCTAATCCACAGATTTTTCCGTGTCTCTGCCCCCCAAAGGACGTGTGCACGGTCTTGTTATGAAGGGAATCATTAAGGGAATCATTATTAAGGGAATCAAAAGCTGTGGTTAGGGAAGCAAACAGTGTTGAATGGCTTAGCTACGAGGGTAAGAACAGGCAGAGGACTTTGGCCGTTAGTTCAGCACTGTCTCTGAGCTGAGTTTCTAGATGTAGCAGCTTTTGTGCCAGCAGAATTGTCCTGACCTTGTCTTTTCTCCCTAGCTGTCCCTAACCTCTTCATGTTGGAAACGGTGGATTCTGTGAAACTGGCAGACAGAGTCAACAGCTCGTGGCAGAAGAAAGGGTCAACGCAGAAACTAAAAGTCATGGTGCAAGTTAACACTAGTGGAGAAGACAGTAAGTGTCTGCACAGTCTTCATGGTGACACGCACATTATCCTGCTGACTTACAGGAGAAGGTTTCTTTAGTCTAGAAAGAAACTCAGCTTGCTTGTAAGAAGAGTTTTGGTGAAAAGGCTGATCCGAGATGATCCCCTTCTGCCTGACTGTGGCAAGAGGACTTCTCTGGCAGAGTTTGACCTGCATCGCTCCCTTTTATGTTTTCTCCAGGTAAGCATGGCCTGCCTCCCGGAGAGACCGCAGCAGCTGTGGAGCATGTCATCAACAAGTGTCCGAGCTTGGAATTTGTGGGACTGATGACGATTGGCAGCATTGGCCATGACCTTAGTAAGGGGCCAAATCCTGATTTCCAGGTGAGAGTTTCCTAGAAGATAACTGGGTGCAGGGGGCGGCCTGAGGCCAAGGAACTGCGTCTGTGTGGCCTGTCATACTGGTGTGATAATCAGTTATCTTCAGGAGACTTGTAAATATGTGTTGTCACTCATGTAGCGGGAAACTCTGGGTGTTCCTGGAGAGCAGAGCAAGCAGCAACAGGACATGTGGGAATTTCCCATCTGCATAAAGGAAAGAAAGGCAGGAAACGGGGTCTGGAGAACCCTGCGGATGAGCTGCCGTGGTTGTCCTACAACATGCCATCCTCTCCTCTCCCCTGCCTTGTAGATGTTGTTATCCCTGCGGCAGGAGGTGTGTGAAAAGCTGAACCTGCCCCTGGAGAAGGTGGAGCTGAGCATGGGCATGTCCACGGACTTCCAGCACGCAGTAAGCCTGGTTTCGCTCTGCTATCTTTTATTTTAGCACCTAAAGATGCCCTCACCTGCAGCTAGCATCCAAAAATCCACTCGTACCTCATCCAGACAGGCCTTGTAGGCCTCTCCTCGCATGGAGATCCATCCTGACTCTGCTGTGCTGTGAAAAACAGCTCTCCTGGCCCTGGCATGCACTTCTGGGGATCAAAATAGACCCTTGTTGTAGCTACAGTTAGCAAATATAAGGGCTACCTCTGTAGCCTGGCGAGCATCTAGATTGTTTGGGGGCTGTGCTGGTGGGTGGTAGCTCTGTATTGAACTCTGCCTTTTGCCTCCTCTTCGTAGATAGAGGTGGGATCCACAAACGTCAGGATCGGAAGCACAATTTTTGGAGAGCGAGATTACTCCAACAAAGCAGGTGGTGGGAAAGCCCTTGCTGAAAGTGAAGGTAAAACGGAGGCCCTGACAGTGTAGGATCGTTAAATGGGATAAAAAGTGGCCTCGACAGAGGACAAATGATGGGAGACCTCGCTATGCATTCTTACCTCCCTCCGTGTCGGCACCCGATCGCGATGGTGAGAGGAAATTCCTCATAATAGAATAGAGGCCAGAAATGCCTCGTAATTTATTGTGATTTTAGAGTACCCATAGAAACTGGAACTTTTGTAACCAGCAAGTGCTAAGGAAAAACATAGTTGAAAGTGACTTTGGTACCTTAAATACTTCAGGCTGATTAAGAACAATTTAATTTTGGATAAATGGGTTCAAAAAGAAATAATTATCTGTAAGAACGGAGTTGCTAATGAGCAGGATATATCTACAGCAGTGCCAATGATTGTTTTCACTGAGGAGTAAATTCTTCACTAACAAGTTTATTTCTTGCCAGAGACCTAAAAATACTTCCTGTCCTCGAGTGAAGGTTTTGCACATGACTGCAGCTGAGTGGTTGCTTAAATAGGAGCTACGTGCCAGAAACATATTGTAACCCTTACAGGCTCTGAGGGGCATGGGAGAGCCTGTGTGTGTTTAAGCTGGGGATGAATAACAAGCACATGAGGATGAATAAAGAACAGCTGCCAGCGTGAGCTCGTGGCATAGTGTTTGGGATGCAGATTGCAAGTCCCTGCTGACTTTTCCTGCGGGTGACACATCTCGTATCCTGGGACGCTGCCAGCCTTTCCCATCCCGTCTCGTGAAGTGCTGTTGGGGGTTGTTTTCACCCTGCCTCGCTCCTGATGCTCCAAGGTATTTCTGGTGAGTGGGGGCAGTTCCTCAGGCTCCTTGCTCTACCTTGGGCTTGCTGTGGCATTCCAGGAAAGCTTAACCAGACGGGGCCTCTGCTACCCCGGTTCCACCTGTACCAGGATTGTAATGCTCATCTTGGGGGAGCGGCTTTGCTAGAGGGGAAAAGCAGTTTGGAAAGTCAAGTATTACATGTCCCTGTGCTCCCCAGAAGCTCTTCCACCGCTCACAGTTCCTAGATGGCATCTTGATGCATTAAGGGCTGGCCTCGAATTTCCTTCCCATGAACGAGGACAGCAGGACACCTGGCCCCGGGGGCCCTGCGCCCTTTAGTGCGGCCTCCCTGCGCCTCCGTGCATGGAGGCCCGGGGAGGCTGCACGAAAACCTGGAGGCCACTAGGGGGCAGCTGCGCACGGAGGCCCAGGGAGGCTGCGCTGGGATGTGATGTCCCCAGCCCCATATTGATGTCCCCAGCCCCATATTGATGTCCCCAGCCCCATATTGATGTCCCCAGCCCCTCAATGAGGTCCCCAGCCCCACACTGCTGTCCCCACCCCAATGCTGATGTCCCCACAGTCCTACTGATGTCCCCAACCCCTCAATGAGGTCCCCAGCCCCACACGGATGTCCCCACTGTCACACTGATGTCCCCAGCCCCTCAATGAGATCCCCAGGCTCACACTGATGTCCTCAATCCCTCAATGAGGTCCCCAATCCCAGACTGGTGTCCTCAGCCCCATACTGATGCCCCCAGTCCCTCAATGAGGGCCCCAGCCCCATATTGATGTCTCCAACCCCTCAATGAGATCCCCAACCTCGGGCTGATGGCCCCAGCCCCACACTGATGTCCCCACAGTCCTGCTGATGTCTCAAACCCCATACTAATGTCCCCAGCCCCTCAGTGAGGTCCCCAGGCCCACACTGATGTCCCCAAATCCACGCTGATGTCCTCAACACCTCAATGAGATCCCCAATCCCAGACTGGTGTCCCCAGCCCCACACTGATGTGCCCAGCCCCTCAATGAGATCCCCAGCCCCATACTGATGTCTCCAACCCCTCAATGAGGTCCCCATACCCAGGGTGGTGTTCCCAGCCCCTCAATGAGGTCCCCAGCCCCACACTGATCTCCCCAGCCCCATGCTTATGTCCCCAGCTCCTCAATGAGATTCCCAGCCCCATACTGATGTCTCCAACCCCTCAATGAGATCCCCAATCCCGTGCTGGTGTACGCCACCCCACACTGATGTCTCCAGTCCCATACTGGTGTCCCCAGTCCCTCAATGAGATCCCCAGCCCCATACTGATGTCTCCAACCCCTCAATGAGATCCCCAGCCCCATGCTGGTGTCCCCAGCCCCTCAGTGA